TTATTTCCCAGGGTATGGAAAAAAGAGATAGAGTGTCTCTGGGCGCAGAAAAACACACCTCTTTTACCTGTCTGGCCCGCCCTTGTATCTTATTACTGTCCCTCCTTCTCTGCCTCTCAGAGCTCGCTCCTGAAGACTGCAGTGAAGTGGTGCAGGTGCGCAGGTGCGAGATCTGAGAGGCAGAGAAGGAGGGACTGTAATAGGAAAATTACCATATTGAAATCAAATCTGATGCTTTTTAAGTTTTTATTTGGTGTGTGTTGGAAGAGGGGTAGTCTTATACGGTGAGTATATCCCAAACTCTACATTTTAACTGGAAAAGTTGGGGGTCATCTTATACACCAAGTCGTCTTATATGCCGAAATATATGGTAATATAAAATAATAATAATAATAATACAATAATAATAATAAAGATAATAATAATAATAATAATAATAATAATGGTTGTTATTATTATTATTATTATTAGAAACACCACAAGATGAGTTCACAGCAGACACTCTGCTGGCTGTTGAATTGGGTCACATGTCGGACACTTCCCAAGTGTCTAGGACTGTGTGATGTGTTGTTGTTCATTCGTTCAGTCATCTCCGACTCTTCGTGACCTCATGGACCAGCCCACGCCAGAGCTCCCTGTCGGCCGTTACCACCCCCAGCTCCCTCAAGGTCAGTCCAGTCACTTCAAGGATGCCATCCATCCATCTTGCCCTTGGTCGGCCCCTCTTCCTTTTGCCTTCCACTTTCCCCAGCATAATTGTCTTCTCTAGGCTTTCCTGTCTCCTCATGATGTGGCCAAAGGACTTCAACTTTGTCTCTAGTATCTTTCCCTCCAATGAGCAGCCGGGCTTTCTTTCCTGGAGGATGGACTGGTTGGATCTTCTCGCAGTCCAAGGCACTCTCAGAACTTTCCTCCAACACCACAGCTCAAAAGCATGTGTGATGTATCAGTGAATAATGCATGCAGATCTGAGTAGGGTGGCCTTTTGCAGCTGGCAGGTGGTAATCTTGTCAGCGCCGATTGTTTTTGAGTGCAGGCCAAAGTCTCTAGACACTGGACCCAGTGTGCTGATCACCACTGGGACCACCTTGACTGGTTTGTGCGAGAGTCTTTGCAGTTCGATCTTTAAATCCTCATATTGTGTTAGCTTTTTCAGATGTTTCTCTTCAATCTTGCTGTCACCTTGGATTGCAACATCGACAATCCATACTTTGTTCTTCCCCACGATTATGAGGTCAGGAGTGTTGTACTCCAAAACTCTGTCTGAATCTGGAAGTCCCAGAGGAGTTTGGCGTGTTCGTTCTCTGTAACTTTTTCCGGCTTGTGATCCCATCAGTTCTTTGTCGCAGGCAGATGGAATTTGTGGCACAAGGGTGTTATGCCTCTGCTTGGAGTCTGTCTTCTTGCAGCAGCTGATGATGGGATCTCTTGTTTCATCTACTTCTTTGAATCTTTTGTTGACTTTTCCATTTTGACTTGGATGGCCTTGGTTGGAATGGCTTGTTCTTGGGCTACCAGAATCAGGCCCTCCTTTGTCTCTTTTTTCAGAGTCCCATTTGTGAGCCACAGCCATGGTTTTTCTTTGTCAGTTTTGCTCTCAGTTTTTCCCAGGAACTGTCCAGGGAGAGAGAGCCTTCTTTGCCCAATTTTCTCTTCTGCTCTGGATTGTGTTTTTATGTTATTCCCTCTTTGTCTTTTGCACTTGAAGCAGTTTTCTACTCTTGACTTCCCTCAGTGTTGGTTCTTGACTGCCTCTCCCATCATCTGCCAGTCCGTGTTTCTCTTCTTCTTCTACCGTTGGTTTCCCTTGTAGAAGCCCTCTTCACAATTCAAGAGAGATATTGACAAGCTGGAATGTGTCCAGAGGAGGGCGACTAAAATGATCAAGGGCCTGGAGAACAAGCCCTGTGAGGAGCGGCTTAGGGAACTGGGCATGTTTAGCCTGAAGAAGAGAAGGCTGAGAGGAGATATGATAGCCATGTATAAATATGTGAGAGGAAGCCACAGGGAGGAGGAGGGAGCAAGCTTGTTTTCTGCTTCCTGGGAGACGAGGACGCAATGGAACAATGGCTTCAGATTACAAGAGAGGAGATTCCATCTGAACATTAGGAAGAACTTCCTGACTGTGAGAGCCGTTCAGCAGTGGAACTCTCTGCCTTCCCCGGAGTGTGGTGGAGGCTCCTTCTTTGGAAGCTTTTAAGCAGAGGCTGGATGGCCATCTGTCAGGGGTGATTTGAATGCAATATTCCTGCTTCTTGGCAGGGGGTTGGACTGGATGGCCCATGAGGTCTCTTCCAACTCTTTGATTCTATGATTCTATGATTCTCTGTCTCCTGATTTTCTGGGCAGGTCAAGTCTGTCGACACCACATTATTATTATTATTATTATTATTATTATTATTATTATTATTCTACATTTATACCCTTATGAATGAAACTTACTGAGGATGGGTTGTTGTAAGTTTTTTTCGGGCTATATGGCCATGGTCTAGAGCCGTGATGGTGAACCTATGACACGTGTGTCAGCACTGACACGCATGGCTATTTTTGATGACACGCAGACACATGCAGCCACATACAGAGAAATACACCTTATAAGATGGATGGCATCCTTGAAGTGACTGGACTGACCTTGAGGGAGCTGGGGGTGGTAACGGCCGACAGGGAGCTCTGGCGTGGGCTGGTCCATGAGGTCACGAAGAGTCGGAGACGACTGAACGAATGAACAACACAAGAGCCAATCTAATTCCATCCTTAAATTTGTAAAAGGCTCTACAAATTTAACATCTACACATTTGAGTGTTGTTCACTCCATAACTCAGCATGGATTATACATTTTTTTTCTTATTTAAACTATAAATATTGCAAAATTATGTTTTTTTTCTCAAAGTGACACTCCACTCAAGTTATGCTCAGGTTTTTGGCAAATTTTGACACACCAAGCTCAAAAGGTTGCCCATCACTGGTCTAGAGGCATTCTCTCCTGACGTTTCGCCTGCATCTATGGCGAGCATCTTCAGAGGTAGTGAGCTCACTCCCTCTGAGGATGCTTGCCATAGATGCAGGTGAAACGTCAGGCGAGAATGCCTCTAGAACATGGCCATACAGCCCGAAAAAACCTACAACAACCCATGAAAGCCTTCGACAATACATCATTACTGAGGATGTTGTTAAGCTTCCAGAAGATGGAGCGGAGACACGAGAGCCATGTTGAACTATTTGAGGGCCCTTCTGCACAGAATATCAAGGCAGAGCATCCACAATATCTGCTTTGAACTGAGTTATCTGAATCCACACTGCAGTACAATCCAGTTCAATGGGGATTTTATACAGCTGTGTGGAAGGACGTCCCATTGAGAAGAAGGCAAGCTTGGTTTTCTGCTGCTCCAGAGATTGGGACACAATGGAGCCCTGGGTTCAAATGGCATGAAAAGATATTCCATTTGGTTTTTGGGAAGATCTTTTTGATGGTAAGAGATGTTTGGCTGTGGAATATGCCACCTGGGAGTCAGGTGGCATATTCGTGGGGAGGAAGTTAAACATGAGGAAACAATGTGATGTGGCAGCAAAAAAAGCCAATGGGATTTTGACCTGCATTAATAGGAGCATAGTGTCTAGATCTAGGGAAGTCATGCTCCCCATGCTCTATTCTGCCTTGGTTAGACCACTTTACCTGGAGTATTGTGTCCAGTTCTGGGCACCACAATTCAAGAGAGAAATGACAAGCTGGAATGTGTCCAGAGGAGGGCGACTAAAATGATCAAGGGTCTGGAGAATAAGCCCTATGAGGAGCGGCTTAAGGAGCTGGCATGTTTAGCCTGAAGAAGAGAAGGCTGAGAGGAGATATGATGAGGGCCAGGATATAAATATGTGAGAGGAAGCCACAGGGAGGAGGAGGGAGCAAGCTTGTTTTCTGCTTTCTTGGAGACTAGGACACGGAACAATGGCTTCAAACTACAAGAGAGGAGATTCCATCTGAACATGAGGAAGAACTTCCTGACTGTGAGAGCCGTTCAGCAGTGGAACTCTCTGCCCCGGAGTGTGGTGGAGGCTCCTTCTTTGGAAGCTTTTAAACAGAGGCTGGGTGGCCATCTGTCAGGGGTGATTTGAATGCAATATTCCTGCTTCTTGGCAGAATGGGGTTGGACTGGAGGATGGCCCAGGAGGTCTCTTCCAACTCTTGGATTCTATGATTCTAGGTGGAGACTCCTTCTCAAGACGCCTTTAAACAGAGGCTGCATGGCCATCTGCCAGGAGGGCTTGGAACAGATCTTGGAACAGATCTCTTGGTCCAGTTGCCACTGGATGCCCAGGGCATCTGTTTCTTCCATGTGCAAGGTGAGTAGGGTCCTAGAATCAGAAGCTCATACTTACTTGCTTTACTTATTTAGCTCAAGGATGATGGTCCTCCAACTCTGGTGTCTTGGTGGTAATGATATCGAGCTGCTTTTAGGAGGGTCTCCCCAGCCGAGGAGATCCCTAAGGACCGCACCAAAAGAGTCCTGGAACCTTGGTGAGGCCAGCGAAGCCAAATTCAGCGATAAAAATATTAAAAATAATAAATCCTCACCAAGGTTCCAGGACTCTTTTGGTGCGGTCCTTAGGGATCTCCCCGGCTGGGGAGACCCTCCTAAAAGCAGCTCGATATCATTTGGCGATCACGAAGGGACTCAATGACCTTTGGGTTCTCTTCGGTGATTCTGTGATTCTCTGCTGCTTCGGTTCTGCCCAGCCAAAGAGCCAGCTGGACCGGTTCCTGGAGGGCATGAATCAGCTTTTCACAGCTAGTTAAACCTCCGGCGCCCCCGGCCCCCGCCTCACAGGGCTGTTTTGGTGCCTCCGACCAGGAAATGAGCCTGGACCCAGTGCCAGGGAGGCCGGGTGGCGGAGGTGCCAGCTTGGTTGCAAAGCACTGGCCAAACTCCCTTTATAAGGCCTTGCTTGGGGGCCGGGGAGAAGGCTGAGCCCACCTTTCCTTGGGATTGAAAGGTGTCCACGACATGAGCGAAGCCCGGCAGATGGCCGCACCCAAGGAGCAGATGGTGGCCGCTGCCCGGTCCCTTGCTTGGGCCTTCTTGCTCTTCTCGCTCTTGGTCCAGTTGCCACCGGACGCCCACGGCATCTGCTTCTTCCATGCGCAAGGTGAGCAGGGTCCTAGAATCAGACTCATACTTATTTACTTTACTTATTTAGCTCGAGGATGATGGTCCTCCAACTCTGGTGTTGGTGGTGGGTCCATAGGTGGCTGTGGAGACCTATTCTTGACGCGTATGTTCTCCTCCAGTGAGGACATCGGTTTCCAAATGGCAGGTGGTCCTGGTCACTTTTGGCTTGATGTGCCTTCCTCTTGGGCCTTCCTGCTCTTCTTGCTCCTGGTCCAGTTGCCACTGGACGCCCAGGGCATTTGCTTCTTTCATGCAAAAGGTGAGGAGGGTCCTAGAATTAGACTCATACTTACTTACTTTATTTACTTAGGCGATCCCTCGTAGCTCAAGGATGATGGTCCTCCAACGCTGGTGTCTTGGCAATGGGTCCGAAGGTGGCTATGGAGACCTATTCTTGACCCACATGTTCTCCCTCAGAAGGTGGTCCCGGTCAAGGTTGGCTTGACATGCCTTCCTCTTGCACATTTCTCCCTTTTGCCCTCCATTTGTGCCTCTTCGAATTCTGCATCACTGCTGGTCACAGCTGACCTCCAGTTAGAGCACTCAAGGGCCAGGGCTTTCCATTTCTCTATGTCTTTGCCACGGAGACAGACCTCTCGATGCAGAGGGGGCCCTCACGGTGCTCCCTTCTCAAAGGAAAAAAGTAATGAAACACTAAATGTTACTATGAAGAAGAAGTGAGGAAGTTGTCAGACATATTTAAAAAATTTTAGGTGTTTTTATTACAAAAATGTGAGCCAAGCACTGGAAGAGTGAGTAGGCCGAAGCCTGGGCTAAAGCTAGAAGCCTGAGGAGAGTGAGGTAGACCTCTGTGTGAGGGAAGCCTGAGGAGGGTGAGGTAGACCTCTGTGTGAGAGAAGCCTGAGGAGGGTGAGGTAGACCTCTGTGTGAGAGAAGCCTGAGGAGGGTGAGGTAGACCTCTGTGTGAGAGAAGCCTGAGGAGGGTGAGGTAGACCTCTGTGTGAGAGAAGCCTGAGGAGAGTGAGGTAGACCTCTGTGTGAGAGAAGCCTGAGGAGGGTGAGGTAGACCTCTGTGTGAGAGAAGCCTGAGGAGGGTGAGGTAGACCTCTGTGTGAGAGAAGCCTGAGGAGGGTGAGGTAGACCTCTGTGTGAGAGAAGCCTGAGGAGGGTGAGGTAGACCTCTGTGTGAGAGAAGCCTGAGGAGAGTGAGGTAGACCTCTGTGTGAGGGAAGCCTGAGGAGGGTGAGGTAGACCTCTGTGTGAGAGAAGCCTGAGGAGAGTGAGGTAGACCTCTGTGTGAGAGAAGCCTGAGGAGGGTGAGGTAGACCTCTGTGTGAGAGAAGCCTGAGGAGGGTGAGGTAGACCTCTGTGTGAGAGAAGCCTGAGGAGAGTGAGGTAGACCTCTGTGTGAGAGAAGCCTGAGGAGGGTGAGGTAGACCTCTGTGTGAGAGAAGCCTGAGGAGGGTGAGGTAGACCTCTGTGTGAGAGAAGCCTGAGGAGGGTGAGGTAGACCTCTGTGTGAGAGAAGCCTGAGGAGGGTGAGGTAGACCTCTGTGTGAGAGAAGCCTGAGGAGGGTGAGGTAGACCTCTGTGTGAGAGAAGCCTGAGGAGGGTGAGGTAGACCTCTGTGTGAGAGAAGCCTGAGGAGGGTGAGGTAGACCTCTGTGTGAGAGAAGCCTGAGGAGGGTGAGGTAGACCTCTGTGTGAGAGAAGCCTGAGGAGGGTGAGGTAGACCTCTGTGTGAGAGAAGCCTGAGGAGGGTGAGGTAGACCTCTGTGTGAGAGAAGCCTGAGGAGGGTGAGGTAGACCTCTGTGTGAGAGAAGCCTGGGGAGGGTGAGGTAGACCACTGTGTGAGAGAAGCCATCTAGTCCAATCCAGTGTGAAGGCTGCTTAGGAGTTCTAACAAGCCACTAGCTAGCTGGTATTGTCCTGATGAACTCTTATTCTTGAAAACTAACTTTTCCTCTGCAGCAACGTTTTCTCAAACCATCAGCGTTTCTCTGCAAACAAAGGCCCTCTACAGAAGCAGGCCAATATGGCAGTAAACCAGGACATATGGGCATTGGGAACATCCCTGAAAATCCCCTTTTAAAACTATGTCTCCCTCATTGTGAGTAGGCCGAAGCCTGTTAGAGTCAGTGGGCCAAACTAGTGTCGTCCTGAGGAGTGTGAGGTAAACCTCTGTGTGAGAGAAGCCTGAGGAGGGTGAGGTAGACTTCTGTGTGAGAAAAGCCATCCAGTCCAATCCAGTTTTTAATTACAAAAATGTGAGCCAAGCACTGGAAGAGCGAGGAGGCCGAAGCCTGTTAGTCAGTAGGTTAAAGCTAGTGTCATTCTGAGGAAAGTGAGGTAGACCTCTGTGTGAGAGAAGCCTTGTGTGAGAAAGCTCCAGTGTGAAGGCTGCTTGGGAGTTCTAACAAGCCGCTAGCTAGCTGGTTTTGTCCTGATGAATTATCCTAGAAAAGCAACCTCCTCTCTGCAGCAACATTTTCTCAAACTATCAGTATTTTCCTGCAAGCAAAGGCCCTCTGCAGAAGCAGGCCAATATGGCAGTAAATCAGGACATATGGGCATTGGGAACATCGCTGAAAATTCCCTTTTAAAACTACGTCTCCCTCATTGTGAGTAGGATGAAGCCTGCTAGAGTCAGTGGGCCAAAGCTAATGTTTTCCTGAGGAGTGTGAGGAAAACCTCTGTGTGAGAGAAGCCTCGTGTGAGAAAGCTCCAGAGTGAAAGCTACTGTGTGTAAAGCTCTACTATGTACTTGTTTAATTTTGTCGTGGAAACCTTCTTATTGTAAATAGTGCAACCATATTATTTTGCTACAGAGAAAAGGCTCCTCTCTCTCTTAGGTAATCCCTCGTTGTTCGAGTAGGATAATCTTCCAGGGTGGGTCCGTAGGTGACTGTGGAGCCCTATTCTTGACCTGCATCTTCTCCCGCAGTGAGGGCATCGGTTTCCAGGTGGAAGGCGGTCCCAGTCAGGGTTGGATTGACGCGCCTTCCTCTTGGCATGTTTCTCTCTTTCACCCTCCGTTCATGCCTCTTCAAATTCCGCAGCACTGCTGGTCACAGCTGACCTCCAGCTAGAGTGCTCAAGGGCCAGGGCTTCCCAATACTCGGTATCTATGCCACAGTTTTTGAGCTTGGTTTTTCGCCCTCCGTTCATGCCTCTTCAAATTCTGCAGCACTGCTGGTCACAGCTGACCTCCTGTTAGAGCACTCAAGGGCCAGGGCTTCCCAGATCTCAATGTCTATGCCACAGAGACTCATAAGGGAACACATGGCTCATCTAGTTCAACCCCCTTCTACCTGCACACAGGAAGAGAATCCAGCCTCTGTTTCAAAGCCTCCAAATACCTGAAAGGGTGTCACCTTGGGCAGGGTTAGCATGAGGGTGTTCTGCTGCTCTGGAAACTAGCACTCATTGGAGCCATGGGTTCAAACTGCAGGAAAAGAGATTCCAGGTTGTTGTAGGTTTTTCGGGTTGTATGGCCATGTCCTAGAAGCATTCTCTCCTGACGTTTCGCCTGCATCTGTGGCAAGCATACTCAGAGGTTGTGAGGTTACCTCATAACCTCACAACCTCTAAGGATGCCTGCCACAGATGCAGGCGAAATGTCAGGAGAGAATGCTTCTAGGACATGTCCATACAGCCCGAAAAACCTACAACAACCCAGTAATTCTGGCCATGAAAGCCTTCGAGAATAAATAGATTCCACTTAAACATGATCAGAGTGTCTTGGCGATGGAATACGAATCTGGTGGAGTCTCCTTCTCTAGAGGTCTTTAAACAGAGGCTGGGTGGCCATCTGTCAGGAGGGCTTTGAAGGGAGCCACACTGGATGGTCCTAGGGTGTCTTCCAACACTATAGAACAGGCATGGATCAACTTTGGCTCTCCCTCCAGGTGCTTTGGACTGCAACTCCCATAATTCCTAACAGTCGGCAGGCTGTTAAGAATTGTGGGAGTTGCAGTCCAAAACACCTTGAGGAGGGCCGAAGTTGGCCCATGCCTGTTATAGAATCATAGAAGACTTGGAAGAGACTGCATGGGCCATCTAGTCCTGAAATGGCAGGGAGAAGGTTTGAGGAAAAGAGACAAAAGAGAGTTCCTGAGGTCTGCAAAAGTATGGTTTATTCTCGGTTGACGCCAACCAGATATGGACCCTGCTGGTATTCCAGGAAAACAGGGTGATGAACAAAGGAATTGCCTTGGTTTATATATCCTTTATTATAGTATGCATACATCATACAAGCATCACAATGTGCGTCACAAAATTCCACTTTTACATTGTCTTCAATAGCATATTTTAACTTCAACACTTTTAATCTTCCATTAAGCACCTTTATCTAAAGAGTTGCTATTAGAGGACCATCCTGTACCCCATAGGGCCAGAGTGTCTAACACTGGCTACTGATAGCAAGAACTTCCGTCCATCTTGAGATAGGTCTTTCCTAGTACGAAGCCTCTTGATGACAAGGCTACATCATTAATCTTATGATAATGATACACTATTAGAGGACCATCCTGTACCCCATAGGGCCAGAGTGTCTAACACTGGCTACTGATAGCAAGAACTTCCGTCCACCTTGAGATAGGTCTTTCCTAGTATGAAGCCTCTTGATGACAAGGCTACATCATTAATCTTATGATAATGATACACTATTAGAGGACCATCCTGTACCCCATAGGGCCAGAGTGTCTAACACTGGCTACTGATAGCAAGAACTTCCATCCACCTTGAGATAGGTCTTTCCTAGTACGAAGCCTCTTGATGACAAGGCTACATCATTAATCTTATGATAATGATACACTATTAGAGGACCATCCTGTACCCCATAGGGCCAGAGTGTCTAACACTGGCTACTGATAGCAAGAACTTCCGTCCATCTTGAGATAGGTCTTTCCTAGTACGAAGCCTCTTGATGACAAGGCTACATCATTAATCTTATGATAATGATACACTATTAGAGGACCATCCTGTACCCCATAGGGCCAGAGTGTCTAACACTGGCTACTGATAGCAAGAACTTCCGTCCATCTTGAGATAGGTCTTTTCTAGTACGAAGCCTCTTGATGACAAGGCTACATCATTAATCTTATGATAATGATACACCATTAGAGGACCATCCTGTACCCCATAGGGCCAGAGTGTCTAACACTGGCTACTGATAGCAAGAACTTCCATCCACCTTGAGATAGGTCTTTCCTGGTACGAAGCCTCTTGATGACAAGGCTACATCATTAATTTTATGATAAGCCCTGCTTGGTGCAAAAGGGTCTCTCGATATTTGCCAGAAGCCTTAGACATTCCTTTCCTAGACCCTGGCCTCCTGTGGCATCTAATTTGCAGCTTTTAAGAAGAGCATATTTTCCCAAGTGAAGTGAAGTCCGCGCATACATATCCTTTTGTGACTTCAAATATATTTTCTAATTCCTATTTCTAATATGGTTACATACAATTATTTTCCAATATATGTATTATGTATTTTCATCATGCATTCATCAGTCCAACCCCCTTCTTCCATGCAGGAAAAACACCGTCAAAGCAGCCCTGACAGATGGCCACCCAGTCTCTATTTAAAGAAACGTCCACTGGACTCTGAGGCAGAGAGTTCCACTGTTGAGAAGTTCTTAACAGTCAGGAAGTCCTTCCTCTAATGTCCAATTGGAATCTCCTTTTCTTTCATTTGAACACATTGGGAAGGGGTATTCCATGTGGGTATTCTAACACTGGCTACTGATAGCAAGAACTTCCAACCATCTTGAGATAGGTCTTTCCTGGTACGAAAGCCACACACACCTCAGGCCACCATTCCTGAGCCCAGAGAAGGCTTTGCAAATGGTCTGAGAGCAACCCTAAAGGGTATCCAGACCCCCCCCCCCCCAAGTGGCCCTCTAGGCTCGGACTGAAAAGTCAAAGGTGAAGAAAGCCAAGGGCCTCATCCTGCCTGGGAGAGACTCCAGAGGTCAGGAGGGCAACCAGCCAGACCTTTCCCCTTTGGGCCCTGCACTAACGTCCCCCTCGATGCCTCTCCTTTGCAGCCCCCTGCCGCTACAAGGAGAAGCCCTTTGCTCCCGGAGAGTCCTGGAGGGGCGCCAACTGCTCCAAGTGCTTCTGCCTGGAGCCCCTCGGCGTGGGATGCTGCGACATGTGAGTAAAGGGTTAATAAGGGGGCAGGGGGGCTTACAAGGGTGAGGAGGGTCTTTACTGAAAAGCCAGGGAATGAGGAAACTTCCAGCTATTAGGAATTGTGGGTTGAAGTCCAAAAGACCTAGAGTACTGGGTTATGGCACAGCTGGTTGGGAATCAGCTGCATTAAAATCACTACTAACTGAAGGTCATGAGTTCAAAGCCAGCCAGGTCGGAATAAGCTCCCGACCATTTGTCTAGCTTGCTGTTGACCTTTGCAGCCTGACAGTTGCATCTGTCAAGTAGGAAATTTGGGTACCGCTTATTAACTAATTTACGACGCCATAAAACGCTCCAGCAGCATTGAAAAGAATGAGGAAGTACTCCATCGGTGTCACAAGTGGACGGTGAAGCGACAGCTCCCCCGGTGGCCATTTGTCTAGCTTGCTGCCAACCTTTGCAGCCCGAAAGACAGTTGCATCTGTCAAGTAGGAAATTTAGGTACTGCTTATGCGGGGAGGCTAACTTAACTAATTTACGATGCCATAAAACTCTCCAGCAGTGTGCAAAAGAATGAGGAAGTACTCCATCGGTGTCACAAATGGACGGTGAAGCAACAGCTCCCCCGGTGGTCATTTGTCTAGCTTGCTGTCAACTTGTGCAGCCCGAAAGACAGTTGCATCTGTCAAGTAGGAAATTTAGGTACCGCTTATGCGGGGAGGCTAACTTAATTAATTTACGATGCCATAAAACTCTCCAGCAGTGTGCAAAAGAATGAGGAAGTACTCCATCGGTGTCACAAGTGGACGGTGAAGCAACAGCTCCCCCGGTGGCCGGAATTTGAAGCACACCCTCATGAAGCTGGAAAGAATTTGGCTTATTAACTAATTTACGACGCCATAAAACTCTCCAGCAGTGTGCAAAAGAATGAGGAAGTACTCCATCAGTGTCACAAGTGGACAGTGAAGCGACAGCTCCCCCCGTGGCCAGAATTCAAAGCATACCCTCATGAAGCTGGAAAGTTAAATAGCCTCTGTGTGTGTGTCTATATACGTTGTGTGTCTATGGCATTGAATGTTTACCATGTCTGTGTGCATTGTGATTCGCTCTAAGTCCCCTGCGAGGTGAGAAGGGCAGAATATACATATTGTAAGTAAGTAAATAAATAATAGGGGGGTGAAGTTTGCCCATTCCCTGGAGGGGACTCCAAAGGCCATCTAGCCCAAGCATGAGCCAACTTGGGCCCTGCCTCCAGGTGTTTTGGACTTCAACTCCCACCATTCCTAACAGCCTACCTCCAGCCTGCCTCTTTTGTGGCACTGTTCACCCAGCAGGGTGATTTGATCAAATAAACCTGTGGAACGATCTCCTTGCCTTCAGTGTCTGATTGAATAATGACCCTGGAGGATTGGGCTACTTGGTAATAGAGCAGGCATGAGCCAACTTGGGCCCTCCCTCCAGGTGTTTTGGACTTCAACTCCCACCATTCCTAACAGCCGATAGGCTGTTAGGAATGGTGGGAGTCGAAGTCCAAAACACCTGGAGGGCTGAAGTTTGCCCAAGCCTGATCTACCCAAGGGCCATCCTTCTGCCAGGCAGTCTTTCCCACTGGACCACATTCTCCCTCGGCTTTAGGCGTAGTTTCAGGTGTTTATCAGGCCAAACCTGTTGATCCCGTCCCAGGTGACTTTTGGGACCGTGACAGGTAGATCCCCCACTAAGCCCTCAGGCAGCGTAGTCATGTGCCATTCTGACCATTTCTGCAAATAATAGTCTAGCTTTCCACTCCCTTGTATGAAGAACAACTCAGCATGTCAAATACACCTTTTACATGAATTTTTACTTACTTACTTAGGTGATCCCTTGTTGTCCGAGTAGGATAATCCTCCAGGGTGGGTCTGTAGGTGACTGTGGAGCCCTATTCTTGACCCCCATGTTCTCCTGCAGTGAGGGCATCGGTTTCCAGGTGGAAGGCAGTCCTGATTGGGGTTGGCTTGACATGCTTCCTCTTGGCACGTTTCTCTCTTTCTCCCTCCATTCATGCCTCTTCAAATTCTGCAGCACTGCTGGTCACAGCTGACCTCCTGCTGGAGTGCTCAGGGGCCAGGGCTTCCCAGTTCTCAGTGTCTATCCCAGAGTTTTTAAGGTTGGCTTTGAGCCCATCTTTCAATCTCTTTTCCTGCCCACCAATATTCCGTTTTCCATTCTTGAGTTTGGAGTAGAGCTTTGGGAGACGGTGGTCAGGCATCTGGACAACATGACCAGTCCAGCGGAGTTGATGGCAGAGGACCATCACTTCAATGCTGGTGGTCTTTGCTTCTTCCAGAATGCTGACATTTGTCTGCTTGTCTTCCCAAGAGATTTGCAGGATTTTCCGGAGGCAGCGCTGATGGAATCTTTCCAGGAGTTGCATGTGACGTCTGTAGACAGTCCACGTCTCGCAGGCATATAGCATGGTTGGGAGGACAATAGCTTTATAGACAAGCCCCTTGGTCTCCGTACGGATGTCCTAGTCCTCAAACACTCTCTGCTTCATTCAGAAAAATGCTGCCCTCACAGAGCTCAGGCGGTGTTGCATTTCAGTGTCAATGTTGATGTCTGTAGACAGTCCATGTTTCACATGTGAAGAGCAGGGTTGGGAGGACAATAGCTCTATAAACAAGCCCCGTGGTCTCCCTACGGATATCCCAGTCCTCAAACACTCTCTGCTTCATTCGGAAAAATGCTGCACTCGCAGAGCTCAGGCGGTGTTGCATTTCAGTCTCAATGTTGACGTCTGTAGACAGTCCATGTTTCACAGGCGTAGAGCAGGGTTGGGAGGGGAACGGCTTTATCAACAAGCCCCTTGCTATCCCTCCGGATGTCCCGGTCCCCAAACACTCTCTGCTTCATTCAAAATAATGCTGCACTCGCAGAGCTCATGTTGTATTTTGGTGTCAATGTTGACTTTGGTGGAGAGGTGGCTGCCAAGGGAGTGGAAATAGTCAACATTTTCCAATGCTACACCATTAAGCTGTATTTCTGGCATTGGAGAGGGGTTGGCTGGTGTCTGCTGGAAGAGCACTTTGGTTTTCTCGATGTTCAATGACAGGCCGAGCTTCTTGGCTGCTTCTGCAAAGGTGTTTAGAGTGCCGTGTAGGTCTTCTTCTGAATGCGCACAGTCGGCATTGTCATCAGCATACTGGAGTTCTATAACAGATGTTGTTGTGTCCTTGGTTTTGGCTTTCAGTCTTGTGAGGTTCAATAGTCTGCCCAATAGATATAGCTTCCAGTCTATCCAATAGATGATTTCCACTCCGGTGGGAAGCTTCCCATCAACAAGATGAAGTATCATAGCGATGAAGATGAAAAATAGAGTTGGGGCAAGAACACATCATTCCTGTTTGACACCTGAAATTATAGTGGCAGTGACGGGATAACAATAACAAATGTCTGATTTGTATCATCTCAAACGATCTCCATTCCCATTTCTAGCCTCTGCTGTTGACTTGACTAATTTAGCTTGAATGATTTCATGCTATATTTTTGGAATAATTTGCTTACAAGTCACAGTCCTACCAGCTGTTAGGAATGGTGGGAGTTGGAGTCCAAAACACCTGGAGGGAGGCTGAAGTTGGCTCAGGCCTGGGCTAAGCAAGCAAGAATGATATCCAATAGGCCTGGGTAACAACGCAAAAATTTGTTTCTAAAATCGATTTGTATTTGGGGTTTTTTTTTGTTTCGATATTTAAAATAATTACAAAATTTTCCCTTAAAAAAGTTCGGTATTTACGAAATTTCGTTAATATTTACAAAACATTTTGTAAAGATGGCGCCCTTTTTTTCCCAATATTTTTTCAATATTTTTTTAATTAATTATTAATTTAGTAGAATAGGGAGGAGAAATTATTATTAAGGAGGGAAGGCAGGCACTCACTCTGGCGGGCCCTCAAGCGCTGCCGCCGAGTCGGGCCCGGCTCCTCCGAAGCTAAGTTTCAATGTGGAATTGGGAGAAGGGGCTCCCCAAAGGCCATCTAGTCCCGCCCTCTGCTATGGTCTCAATGCGAAATTGGGAGAAGGGCTCCCCAAAGGCCATTTAGCCCAGCCCTCCGCTAAGGTTTCAGTGCGGAATTGGGAGAAGGGGCTCCCCAAAGGCCATCTAGTCCAGCCCCCTCCTAAGGTTTCAATGCGGAATTGGGAGAAGGGGCTCCCCAAAGGCCATACATTCCAGCCCTCTGCTAAAGTTTCAATGTGGAATTGGGAGAAGGGGCTCCCCAAAGGCCATCTAGTCCCGCCCTCTGCTATGGTCTCAATGCAAAATTGGGAGAAGGGCTCCCCAAAGGCCATCTAGCCCAGCCCTCTGCTAAGGTTTCAGTGCGGAATTGGGAGAAGGGGGTCCCCAAAGGCCATCTAGTCCAGCCGCCTCCTAAGGTTTCAATGCGGAATTGGGAGAAGGGGGTCCCCAAAGGCCATACATTCCAGCCCTCTGCTAAAGTTTCAATGTGGAATTGGGAGAAGGGGCTCCCCAAAGGCCATACATTCCAGCCCTCTGCTAAAGTTTCAATGTGGAATTGGGAGAAGGGGCTCCCCAAAGGCCATCTAGTCCCACCCTCTGCTATGGTCTCAATGCGAAATTGGGAGAAGGGCTCCCCAAAGGCCATCTAGCCCAGCCCTCCGCTAAGGTTTCAGTGCGGAATTGGGAGAACGAAGCACACCCACCACAAAGGTGAGGAAGGAGGGACGGGCCGCCTTCCTGCTGAGGGTAGCTCGCCCTCTCGCTCGCTTGCTCAGCCGGCGCCTTCCCCGCCCTCTCCTCCTCCTCCTCCTCCTCCTCCTCTTTCAGGCTCTGACTGGCTAAGGAGAGGAGAGAGAGGAGAGCTCCAGCAAGCATCTAGCCATCTTACGTATTTCCGAAATGGACGGAAATACAAAAATATTTGGCGCATGCCGTTTCGATATTTAAAAACACTTCCGGGTTTAAAAATAAGTTTTGTAATCGTTTTGTAATTGCTAAAATTAACGAATATTTAACGAATTACAAAATTAACGAACGAAACCGCCCAGGCCTAATATCCAAGGGCCTCTTGCGAGTGGTTCTGGGTTGCAAGAGTGGTCTTGCAGTGCACCATACCTGCCCCACCTGAACCTTACCTTTCTCCCGCAGGATGCAGCTTCCCGTGGACTTCCCGGAGGGCTGCCAGGTGCGCTACGACTCCCGAGCCTGCCAGGTCTCCTTGGTGCAGAAGGGCCGGCCACACCTGCCCTGCGCCAACAGCCTGGAGCCCGGCTGGGGATCGGGGCAGCCCCCCAAACACAAGGACCCCCGGCCGCCCTCGCCTGGCAAGCAAAGCCCCCACACAGCCCCCGGCAGGTAGAGCTCCAGAGACCAAGGGCTGAAGGTCAACGGAGACCCTCCTCATTGCAACACGGCCACTCTTCTTCCTTCCAGTCTTCACTCGCCGCCATTCTCATTGCTGCAACTCACAATCTTAAACGGAATTATTATTATTATTATTATTATTATTATTATTTGATGTGTTGTCAAAAGTTTATTATTATTGTCGAAGGCTTGCTTTCATGGTTGGAATCACTGGGTTGCTGTGAGTTTTTCGGGCTGTATGGCCAATGTGTTCCAGCAGCATTCTCTCCTGACATTCCGCCTGCATCTGTGGGTCATGGCATCTTCAGAGCTCTGTAGGAAATGAGGGAAGTGGAGTGTGTGTATGTATATATATATAGAGAGAGAGGAAATGGGGGAAGTGGAGTGTGTGTGTGTGTGTATGTATATATATATATATATATAGAGAGAGAGAGAGAGAGAGAGGAAATGAGGGAAGTGGAGTGTGTGTGTGTGTATCTATATATATATATAGAGAGAGAGGAAATGGGGGAAGTGGAGTGTGTGTGTGTGTGTGTATGTATATATATATATAGATAGAGAGAGAGAGAGAGAGAGAGGAAATGAGGGAAGTGGAGTGTGTGTGTGTGTATCTATATATAGAGAGAGAGGAAATGGGGGAAGTGGAGTGTGTGTGTGTATCTATATATATATATAGAGAGAGAGAGAGAGAGAGAGAGAGGAAATGAGGGAAGTGGAGTGTGTGTGTGTATCTATATATATATATAGAGAGAGAGGAAATGGGGGAAGTGGAGTGTGTGTGTGTGTGTGTGTATGTATATATATAGAGAGAGAGAGAGAAAGAGAGAGAGAGAGAGAGAGGAAATGAGGGAAGTGGAGTGTGTGTGTGTGTATGTATATATATATATAGAGAGAGAGAGAGAGAGAGAAAATGAGGGAAGTGGAGTGTGTGTGCATATGTGTGTGTGTGTGTGTGTATATATATATATATATATATATATATATATATACACATACACACACACACACCTGTGGAATAATTTCCAGGGTGGGAGAAATAACCTTTGTCTGTTTGAAGCAAGTGTGAATGTTGCAGTTAGCAAACTTGAATAGTATTGAATATTCCGAACATTAGGAAGCACTTCCTGACTGTGAGTGCTGTTCAGCAGTGGAACTCTCTGCCTCAGTATGTGGTAGAGGCTCCTTCTTTGGAAACTTTTAAATAGAGGCTGGATGGCCATCTGTCAGGGGTGCTTTGAATGCAATATTCCTGCTTCTTGGCAGAAGGGGGTTGGACTGGATGATGGCCCACCAGGTCTCTTCCAACTCTAGGATTCTATGAGTAGCCATGAAATTTTGCAATTCGTGAGGCTATTTGCATAGAGCTAGCCTGACTCCTGTTGCCTGGAGGCATCCTCTGGGAGGTTGATTGTTTCCTATGAGGTCTCTTCCAATTCTGATTCTATGATTCTATGAGTAGCCATGAAATTTTGCAATCCGTGAGGCTATTTGCATAGAGGTAGCCTGACTCCTGTTGCCTGGAGGCATCCTCTGGGAGGTTGATTGTTTCCTATGAGGTCTCTTCCAATTCTGATTCTATGATTCTATGAGTAGTCATGAAATTTTGCAATCCGTGAGGCTATTTGCATAGAGGTAGCCTGACTCCTGTTGCCTGGAGGCATCCTCTGGGAGGTTGATTGTTTCCTATGAGGTCTCTTCCAATTCTGATTCTATGATTCTATGAGTAGTCATGAAATTTTGCAATCCGTGAGGCTATTTGCATAGAGGTAGCCTGACTCCTGTTGCCTGGAGGCATCCTCTGGGAGGTTGATTGTTTCCTATGAGGTCTCTTCCAATTCTGATTCTATGATTCTATGAGTAGCCATGAAATTTTGCAATCCGTGAGGCTATTTGCATAGAGGTAGCCTGACTCCTGTTGCCTGGAGGCATCCTCTGGGAGGTTGATTGTTTCCTATGAGGTCTCTTCCAATTCTGATTCTATGATTCTATGAATAGCCATGAAATTTTGCAATCCGTGAGGCTATTTGCATAGAGGTAGCCTGACTCCTGTTGCCTGGAGGCATCCTCTGGGAGGTTGATTGTTTGCTGCCTGGCATTCTCCTGTTTCTGAGCGGCGTTCTTTATTTACTGTCTTGGTTCTGGTGTTGTTTAATGCTAGTAACCAGTCGACATACTTTTTAATTTTTAATTGTATTTTTTCTTTAAGTATTGTTTGTTTTAGGTTAGATATTATTCCTCTTTTTTCCTACTTTTCTAAAATTATATTGTTCTCACACTTTCGATGTATTCTCTGATTTTCCTATCTTTAATTGTTTCTCTCTATCTTTCTCCTTTTTGGAGCCATCTTCTCTCTCTCAATAAAAATTATTTAATACAAAAATACTAGTAAACAGAGTTTGTTCATTTGTATGGTTTCTTCCATTCTGTTGAAATCGTTCACATGCTTCTTATAGATTCCAAAACAAAGGATGCCCCCAGGCAACACTGGTTAGGCCACCTCTATGGAACCCTATTCTTGACCCGCATGTTATCCCGCAGTGAGGGCATTGGTTTCCAGTTGGAAGGCAGTCCCGGTCACGGTTGGCTTGACACACCTTCCTCTTGGCACGTTTCCCTCTTTCGCCCTCCATTCGTGCAGCTTCAAATTCCGCAGCACTGCTGGTCACAGCTGACCTCCAGCTAGAGCGCTCAAGAGCCAGGTCTTCCTAGTTCTTGGTGTCTATCTCAGTTTTTGAGGTTGGCTTTCAATCTCTTTTCCTGTCGTCCAATATTACGTTTCCCGTTCCTGAGTTCGGAGAAGAGCAACGGACTTTGCAAACTTCATGGGAAAGCGGCTGAGGGGGGAAAGGTGTTGTCCTAGCGGCCTGCTCTCTTGAATTGTTTATTCTACTCTATGTATTGTATTGTATTATTTATGTTGCGAGCTGCCCCGAGTCCCTTTGGGAGATGAGGCGGAATATAAATAAAGTTTCTTATTATTTGAAACACAACAAGATGAGTAAACAACAAACAAGACCACTCTGCTGGCTGTTGTATTGGATCACACATCGGACCCTTCCCAAGTGTCTAGGACTGTGTGATGTACGGGTGAATAATGCGTGCAGATTCGAGTAGGGTGGTTTTTTGCAGCTGACACATGGTAAGCCGATTGTTTTTAAGTGCAGGCCAAGGTCTTTAGGCACTGCACTCAGTGTGCCGATCAACACTGGGACCACCTTTACTGACTTGCGCCAGTGTTTGCAGTTCAATCTTTAAATCCTCGTATCGTGTAAGCATTATTATTACTGTATTATTATTATTACTAGCTGTCCCCTGCCACGCGTTGCTGTGGCCCACATGGGGGTTCTGTGTGGGAGGTTTGGCCCAATTCTATCGTTGG